GGGGGGGGGGGGGCGGCTGGTTTTAGAACGTTTTTGCCAAGCGACGAAAACCCAACCCCGATGACAAACACCGGGGGAGCGGGAGGTGGGGAGGGGTTGTTTCTTCGACGTGTGTCAAGCTACTGCAGCTGCGGCGTGTGTGTGTGTGTGTGTGTGTGTGTGTGCTTTTATTATTAGCATCGACCGCGCTAACCGGCTGACCAATGAAAAGACGTCAGTCTCAGTGTGTGTGTGTGTGTGTGTGTGTGTCTTTTTCTTCTTCGACGTGTTGTCAAGGTACTGCTGCTGTATGAGGGGTTCTATCTTTATGTCTTCGACGTGGGTTTTTCTTTGGCTTTGCGGAAGCGACCGCGCTTGATGGAGGGTAACGAGTTGGGCTTCGCTGGCACGGTGCTGCAGCTTGTAGTTGACGTCGACCGTGCTAGAGCGGAGCGCGGGGTGCGTGTTCTGTCCTCCGAGAGTTGGGCTCGTTGCGACGGTGTGGGGGGTTGCCGGTGCGACTTAGCTGGGCCGCAGCAAAGAACCGAAAGAGAGCGACAAGAAAGAACAGAAAGGAAAGCCATCTGAGTAATGTGCCACACACAGCACACACACGCGATCAGCCGGTTTAGCGCGGCCGAAATGTATTAATGAATAAACCACACAGTACCCACATGTCAGGCAACAACGAAATCCAACTGAGTTACGTGTCACGCACAACACACACACACACACGGTCAGCCGGCTAGCACGGTTGATGCTAATTTATGTGACACACGCACACATCCGGCCGACAACCACAGGCAAAGAAGCAACTGCTACAAACAAACACATAATCGCATTCGCAATCGCAGGAGGAGACCCAGGGAGGAGCCCGGGTGTCGCTGTTCAGCCTGTTCGGGCTCGAGAAGCAGAAGAAGCGCAAGCGCAAGCTGGTGGCCATCCTGTGGTGCGATCACGGCCTCGCCGACGCGTCAGCCCAGGTGGTGCTGAGCGTCTTCCGCGACCACATGGAGACCCGGCACGCGTGGGTGGAGAACAAGAGGGACGCAAGGGTCAGGGCAGACCTCCTGTGCACCGTACAGGTGCGGGTGGGGGTGGGAGTTTTGTCGCGCGGTTGTTGTTGTTGTTGTTGTTGTTGTTGTTGTTGTTGTTGTTGTTGTTGTTGGTGTTGTTGTTGTTGTTGTTGTTGTTGTTGTTGTTGTTGTTGTTGTTGTTGTTGTTGTTGTTGTTGTTGTTGTTGTTGTTGTTGTTGTTGTTGTTGTTGTTGTAGTTGTAGTTGTTTGCGGTCGTTGTGGGGTGTTTTGTTTTATGGGGTCTGCTTTTTTTCAGGTGTCCTGTGTGTTGCGCGATTTTTCATGTGGTATCGTGGTGTGTGTTGGCGATTCTTTTGCTCTCGTTCGTTTGGCGTTCTCGGTGTGTGTTGTGTGTTGCGTGTTGCGTGTTGCTGATGGTGCACCCACAGCTGTTGAGGATGAATGTCCCTGTGGTGGTTTGTACGCATAGCAAACGGGGAACGAACGACTATTGAAAGACTTTTGACTCTATCTCTTCAAAATACTTTGTCGCGTCACGACTGTCCTCAGTGACAACGTCTGCAGTAAGAATGACCAATCTCAGACGATTTTGCGAATCCTGCATTTTTCTCTCTCTACTCTTAAAACGGGCCTACCCGCGAGGTATATACCATAATTGTAACCATTGGACACGCGGCATGGCAAGAATGACTGCACTCGCTGCTACTGACGTGGAGATATTTTGTTTTCTCTTGACGCCCACCTTGGTTACTACAGCAGTAGGGAACATCCCAACATGCTGCAGGCGCACCAACCATCAGCCCGGCAACATGACGTCAGTGTTAATGTTGCGTGGACGGCGAGCGGGTTAAGCTTCCTGCTGTGTTCCACTTTCGGCCAGTGCTTCTTCCTCACGGCGCTGACGTTGGTAGCACGTCTCGTATGTACGGTTATAGCATGTGAGACCTGTTCCCAGCGTCGACGCGACGAGGAAGAAGCGCTGGCCGGAATCGAACACAGCAAGAAGCTCAACGCGCTCGCCGTCCACGCAACGACAACAACACTCTCGATGACGATGATGACACCGCCTTACGCTTGGTGCGCCTGCAGCAGCGTCGGGATGTCCCCTGCTGCTGTAGTTACCGGGGTAGGCGTGAAGAACTTGAGCAAGTCGATGGGGAGTTACGAACCCTCTTGCTCTTGCGGTGAGCACCCCCGGTGTTCTCACGTTGGGCAATGACACAAAGCGGGGCGCGTGTAGGGCCACGTCATCGACAGGTCTGGTGCAAAACCAGAGAGAGGTGGTGAACGGAAGTGAGATGAGGCGGACAGCCATCTACCGTCGAGGTCACGGACGGGAGTTCCTCCACACAGAGTACAGAGAAGACTTAGATGGTTTCATTTGCCAGTTGGAGGGATTACCCTGCTGACGTTGGCCGCTACAGACAGACGTACGAGGAGGAGCCGCTTCGGCTCAGGAGACTCCCAGTCCCAAATTTGCTTTTTCATTTCTTTTACTCAAGTTTTTTTTCTCTTCTCCTGGGGCAGGGTATGTTTGGCGTGCCATGTTGTCCGGTGATCGTTTTTTTTGTTTGTCGTGCCGTATTTTCGACTGGCATTCGTACACCTCACTCAGTGGTGGTGGTGGTAGTTGTTGTTGTTATCCCGTCGGAACGCCGAACGGAGTGTTAATCAAGGGTCCCGCCGACACCCTCACACGTGGGCGTCACCTGTTGTTGTAATTTGTTTTTCCCCTCCGGGGAAATCTGTAGTGTCTCCTTGTCCACGTACTGTAGTCGGCCGGTTAGCGCGATCGATGCTACCTACATGTCTGCTTGAGTGAGACACACACACATCTTTCAAACACAGTTAACAGTTAGTTATACTCCGCAGCCCCCCTGTCGCGGAAACCCAAGGCACGGGCAATGAAAATAGCAGCCGTTTTGGCGTGTCCCGCAACGTTTTTCATTGGTCGGACGGTTAGCACGGTCGATGCGCTTGCTCATACTTCACCACACCAGCAGGCTTGACCAAAATGATGAAGTAACGCTTGTGACTCTCATACTCTCACTTCGTTGCGTGGACATGTTCGCCCCCCCCCCCCCCC